CAACTGAAAACACACCATACGTGCCAGGTGCCCGAGTAAGTGCTGAGCTGACAACAATGGCCCCTGCCCTTAAAAAGTTCTTGGGAGAGCAGGGAATCCCTGTAATCACACGCCTCTCCCCTCCCACCCCTGCCAGGATGCATTCCACCATTCACCCGACAAAGACAGGCGGTGGGCCGGGGTAGGGCGGCTGCCTTGGGAAGCGTTTGACCTCAGAGGATCAGGAAGCAACAACCCATAAACCCACCTGGCCTGTGGGGTCTGCTTCACCTGTAACTCAGTCGGCTTCAAGGACCTAAGTAAGTACAGGTGACCCACATAGATGTACGTGAGCAGCGAAGAGCACGGTTCCAGACCTGCTGCAGAATATTCCAGCTGGCTACGTGAAAGTCATCACCTAATATGACTCTTCAGAGTTGAGGCTCGAGAAGGCAAAACAACTTGCCAACGGCCACACAGCGAGGAAGCCAAGAGCCAGGACTGGGAGCCAGGTCTTCTTTCCTCAGCCAAGGGCTCTGTCCAGCACGCCGATGAACGCAGTTAAAAATCAATGTGTTTGGGGGCGCCTGGGTGGCTCCGCTGGTTAAGCGTCTGACTTCAGCTCAAGTCATGGTCTCACAGTTTGTGGTTCGAGCCCCATATCAGGCTCTGTGCTGACAGCTCTGAGCCCGGAGCCTGCTTCGGACTCTGTGTCTCCCTCTCTCTCTGCCCATCCCCCATTCGCACTCTGTCTAAATCAATGTGTTTACATTTTGACGGACGACTGCAGCACATTCACAGACTTGTCAGTTTTGGATGTCAGGCTGTCCCTAGACCGGTGCCCACGGCTGAGTATCAGCCAGGACTTCTTCTACACATTCAGCTCGCTGCCAAGAGCTCTCATTCTTGACCTGATGAGGACGGCTGTCACCCAAATCTGCAGACTGTTCCATTTCCCTGGAGACAAGTGGGGCACCTCTATACCCGGGCCCTCTCAATTCTAGAGACAGAGAGGCGCACAGACATCGAGGCAGTAACAGCACACTCCGAGAGCAGAGGACGGCCACGTGGGAACAAGCCGACACAAAGGCTGGTGGCTGTTAACGCGCATGCATCTGTCGGAGGCAGCACACGTCATCGCTGGGATTACAGGCATTCTCCGCCTGCAACCAGGCGGGCGGGGAGAGCACAAGACCGAAGCCTTCTCTTTCCCTAGCCTGGTATCAGAGGTAGCAGATCGAGGAAAGACCAGTTAGATCACCTCTTTCCCAGGCCAGCTGGAGGGGAACCTGCACCAGCAATTACCAGGGATGGAGTTTCAAAATGAGTCACAAGGGCCCACAGGCTCCCTGGGGAAGACGCTTCTCTAGCTCAGCTCTCATTACCCAGTGGGACGGGGGCCAGCTTCTCTGCCAGGGGACACTCAGCACACAGGTGTCCTGACGTGCAGTGTGACCTCGGGTAAAATGTTTAAGACTCTTTGACGTCATTTTTTTCCCAGGTAGAGTGGGGGGTGGGGATGCTGCATATGGTACGTAATCTGTGAGGGGTACAGCAACATGGGAAATAAGATTGTCCCTTAAGGGCAAAACCACAAAATTCCATCATAAGGGATCAAATCAGAGGTAAAAGAGGCTGCCCGAAAGGGACAGAAGAGGCCCCGCGACAGCAGACCTTGAAACAGAACCTAACAGGGGCGCCTGGGAAGCTCAGTTGAGCATCTGACTTTGGCTCAGGTCACGATCTTGTAGTTTGTGAGTTCGAGCCCCACATCAGGCTCTGCGCTGACAGCTCAGAGCCTGGAGCCTGCTTCCGATTCTGTGTCCCCCTCCCTCTCTGCCCCTCCCCTGCTTGCTCTCTGTCTCTGTCTCTCAATAATAAATGAATGTTAAAAAGTAAAAAAAAAAAAAAAAGGCTAGTTCCTACTGTGGCTGAGGAACTAAATTTTAAGAAACAGAACCCAACTGAAAGATGATGACAGAAGTGTGCGTGATGGGGGAAGGGGGCCATGCCTAGAGGGTACCGAAGTCAGTGGTGAGTCTGTGGGACAGACCCACGGACAGCACGTGCCTGACAAGGTCCCCCCAACATCCTGGGGGCCCGTTCATCACTGAGCCAGACAGGAGGAAACACTCCCCCCAGGCGGTCAGCGGACCCCTCCACTCCAGGCTCACCAGGGCACCTCCAACAACCTGCCTTCCCATGGCACTTGCCTCCCGTAGAGAGAACCCAGATTTTCAGGCTCGTGGGACTAACGTGAGCCTCTGGTCCGGGCAACCACTCGACGTCTCGGAGAGAATAAAGGAACCGGCGGGCTGGGCTCCCCATCAGACTCTTTGGAGCCCTGTCAGTGCGGGTCAGCATCTGGTCAGGTTCCTAACTTCGCACGGGAGGAGAGGCTTGGGCTTGGAAAGGCCGACCGATTGGTGTCTGGCTGCGGTGCGGGTGGCTGTCTTCCCCGGGGGGCTGGGGACCATGGGTGCCAATCACGTGTCCAGCAGGTCTCATGAAGGATGGATGAAACGGGCGGGGAAGCACCCTGTGGTGTAGAAAGGGCCCTCACGCCACAACTATTACTTCGTTGAGTAGAACCCGAGGGTGCTAAGCCAATGGGTCACCCTCACCCTCCACGGAGGGCTGAGCACAGCTCTATGGCACATGTGACAACAGCCAACCTGTGACTCAGCCTGGCGGCCACAATCATAAACTTAGATTGCCCTGACCCATGTTTTTTTCTGAGGTATCTCTCGCTTTTATTTTAAAAGATTGTTTTTAATGTTTAATACTTATTTTTGAGAGAGAGACAGTGCATGAGCAGGGGAGGGGCAGAGAGAAAGGGAGACACAGAATTGGAAGCAGGCTCCGGGCTCTGAGTTGTTAGCACAGAGCCTGATGTGGGGCTTGAATTAAACCATGAGATCATGCCTGAGCCGAAGTCGGACACTCAACCGACTGAGCCACCCAGACGACCCATCTCACTTTTAAATTCACATGGCTGTCATCTGGGATTTATTTAACTGGGGCCCAGGGACACCACCCCCTGATGGGCTTCTGCTTGCTTCAGCCACTCTCCTGCTCAGGGACTCCTAAGAGGAGCACAGCACTCTAAAGGTGTCTACCCGTGGGACGGTTAACCACTGTGTGCACGTATGTACAGCGGGGGAGGGGCAGACAAGAGACCCCTGGAGCAAGAACAAGATGAGGACTGTCGTCCCGCTGTCGTGTATAAAGTCAAAAACATATAATAAGCTATTACAAATTCCCTACTACTCATGACCTTTTAAAGTGTTCTTTACAAACAGTGTATCATGTGCTATTTTTTTCCCCTACGTGCTTCCGACCTCACGGCCATAATGCTTTCTAGAACCATCCTTAAAGATATTTAGGGAACATATGAGAACAAGTTTTAATACATGGGAGACCTTTTTTTAAATTTTTCTAAAACATTTATGTATTATTGAGAGACAGAGCCTGAGAGTGGGAAGGACAGACAGGGAGGGAGACACAGAATCCAAAGCAGGCTCCAGGTTCTGAGCTGTCCGCACAGAGCCTGACGTGGGGCTCGAACTCACCAACCATGAGATCGTGACCTGAGCTGAAGTCGGTCGCTCAACTGACTGAGCCCCCCAGGCGCCCCTACATGGGAGATCTTTGTAAATGTCCAGCTGTCCAGAGGAAAAATGGGCCACCTGAGGAAGCAGTCAAGTCCCCATGCCTGCGTGCTGTCTAATCATACGTTGGGTAATGTCTTTTGTTGAGGACATGGAGCAGATTTAGATCCTTGGATTGCCAACACCCTTCAACACCCCTCTCAACCACTTGACTGTCCAAGCTCACGACACCTACAACCATGCCCTTGTCTTTACTTTCATAGGCCCCGGACTCAAGGTCTGCCTTGATTCCCACTTGGATTAACAGCATCTTAGGTTTGGAACCAAAGGTAGCTTGAGAGTTGTATTCAACATCCCCAGGAAATGGTGCTACCATCGATACATAGGAAGCAAAGCTATCATAAATAAATTTTAAAATAGGTATGGGCAGAGTCAAGAAACAAGGAAACAAGTAGATTCTTCATATATCCTCCATCAACCAAGCCCCTTTCCGTTTCTTTCTTGAAACATACACTCTACCCTCTGCCAATATGGAAACCTCGCTCTTCCCAGGGTAACATCATTCTCCCACAGCACGACCCACTAACAGCCATGTGTTTAAGCAGCGTACACTCACACACTCGCTTGTCTCACCCCAGCTCCCAGGAATGCCCCCCACATGGCTCAGTCCCTCCTTCCTTTCCTCCTGCCTTGGCCACGGCCCAGCCTTCCTGCACACTGAACAGCAGCGACGGATGGGTCTTTTTTTTTTTTAATGTTTTTATTAGAGAGAGAGAGCAAGCGAGCAGGGGAGGGGCAGAGAGAGATGGAGACAGAATCCGAAGCAGGCTCCAGGCTTCGAGCTGTCAGCACAGAGCCCGATGCCGGGCCTGAACCCACGAACCGCGAGATCATGACCTGAGCTGGAGTCGGACGCCTAACCGACTGAGCCACCCAGGCGCCCCTCGACGGATGGGTCTTGAAGGACTATTCAAATAGATGGGCTGAAGTGGCAGCAACAGGACACACGATGGGGCTGGGTGTCACCTCAGGTAGGACTGAGGGTCATTCCTGGGACAGAAGGGGACAGCTGCTAATGGAGCTTCCTCGTCCACTCCCGCCAAACCCTCTTATCCGTCATCGCTTGAATTTAAAGTATTTCCTGAGATCAAGACTCAAAGGTACAGTAACAAAATACAAGGATGACAGGAGGTGGGCCCTGTCACCCACGGGACACAGGACTGGTGGAGCCAATCGGCTGCCTGGGCCATGGGCCTCTGCCTCACTTCTCTCGACACCAGGGCTGGTCCAGGCAGCCCACTCCCTAGATGAGGAAGGACTCCATCCAGAGAGTGGCCTAGAAGGAAAAGGCACCCCACGCCTACCTCTCATGCTCCCTTCTTCACTGCTTTCTGGTTCAGAGTCACTTACCTTTTTCTTCTTCTTCAGGATCACTTTCACGCCATCCACTGAAACCATAATGCTCACCTTCTTCTTCTTGATGTTCTTGGCTTTAAACTCATACTGCAAGAGAGGAGAGAAAGAAGCACAATCCAGTTAGGTCAGGGCACCTGCACGTCCCCAGCTAGCCCATGACCCAGAAAAGAGGGACACAGATGGGCAGAGGGAGCTCCGGAGCTTCTCGGGGGCATAAAAGCAGGTGGGGGTCTGGGTGTCGGCACCCAGCCATCAGCAACAACCGAGGGATGGAGGCAATCCATCCTAACGGGATGAAGACAGAGCCCACTTTCAAAATCTCATCAGAAACCAGAACCTTCCCTCAAAAACTCATTTGATGTTTACTTTTTTAATTAAAAACATTTTTTAACGTTTATTTATTTTTGAGAGATAGAGAGCATGAGCAGGGAGGGGGCAGAGAAAGAGGGAGACACAGAATCCGAAGCAGGCACCAGGCTCTGAGCTATCAGCACAGAGCCCGACGCGGGGCTTGAACCCACTGACCATGAGATTATGACTTGAGCCGAAGTCAGACGCTTAATCACCTGAGCCACCAGGCGCCCCGTCATTCTGACGTTGAATGACATTCACAGCCAGGTTCTTCCTGTGTGTACCCAAAGTCTAGAAACCTGACTCCATCTCCAGTGAAGATTAAAAAGAATTGGTACAGTCTTCAAATCGGGAATTTTTACATATTAAAAAACTATGAACTGTAAGTGATTCCAAGTTCAAGTCCCAAATTCGTTTATCTGTAGGTCAGCTTCCAAGTCTACCCCTAGCCTTATTACCCTGAAATATTCTAGAATATTCTAGCAAGGATCTGACTGAGGATAGTTACAGGGGAGGGCACGACCTCACAACCGGTATGGCTGCTTCCACCAGAGCCCTACACTGCTGAGGGACACTGGCCTCCTCCTCAATCCCAGACATCTTCCCTGTGATATTTTGCCCATTCGTAGCAATTTCTTCTGCATATGTAGACATTGGTAATGGCTGGTATAAGTCTACGTTCTCCTCCCTAAACTTCCTTCTGAGCCCTTATCTGATTTATTAATACTATTTTCATCTGCTCCCCAACTTGGTGGCATCAACTAGCAAGCTAATGAAACATCTGGGCTGCAGGTGAATAATAATACAAGACTCAAGGCCAAGACCTCTATTCCAACCCACAGCCACTCTCCTCTGGGACTTCTTAGGCTCAACACCCTCCTCCATCATGCCACCAGCCAAGCTTGCATTCGGCTCCTCGCCTGCATGTCTAGAACCTAATTAATTAGCGTGGGAAAGAAATGAACCTAACCCAACCTAACATGGTGAAAGCATAACCTACTTTGAAAATCTCTTCAGAAATCCAGAACCTGGGGAGTCTGGGTGGTTCAGTATGTTAAGTCTCCAACTCAGGTCACTGTCTCCTATTCATGAGTTTGAGCTCTGCATCGGGCTCTGCATTGACAGCATGGAACATACATGGCATATTCTCTCTCTCTCTCTCTCTCTCAAAATAAATCAATAAACTTGAAAATAAAAAAAAAAAAAGAAAGAAAAGAAAAAGAAATCCAGAACCTTCCACTCCATTGGTGATGCCTTTAAATACTGCAATTTTATGGGCACCTGGAGGGCTTGGTTGGTTAAGTGTCTGACTGGCTCAGCTCATGATCTTATGGTCCATAGGCTGCAGCCCCACGTTAGGCTCTGTGCTGACAGCCAGAGCCTGGAGCCCATTTCACATTCTGTGTCTCCCTCTCTCTCTGCCCCTCTCCTGTTCGCTCACTCTCTCGCTCTCAAAAATAAACATTAAAAAAAATTTTTTTTTAATACTCTGATTTTAAGGACTCAACTTAGAGCTTCCCACCCTGCCTGCAGCCTGTCCCTTCCACGGAAATCCGAGCTGACCTTACTCTGCTGTGGTCAGTGCTGACGCCCTCGGCTGTCTGCTTCCTGTGGACAGGGACGCGACCCTACTGAAGCAAGATCTTGCTCTTTATACCGCCAGTGAAGGTTCTGGCCTATCGCTGGTCTGAGTTTCCAGGTGACAGCAACAGACACCACCTCCAGCCTGGAGGTCCTCTTCCCACCCGGTCAACAGCCATCCTTCCTTACAAGAGGGCTCGAGAGAGAAGCAAACCAGAGCAGCGGCCACATGGGACGCAAGCATCAGGCTCCGACTCTGCTTCCAGGCAAGTGTGTGTGGGGGCGCGGAGAAGCGTGTCACATGGAGTGTGGCTCGGGACAGGCCCTCAGCACCCCCCCCCCCACGCCACGTCCCGCTCTAGGGCAGCAGCCGTGGGCTGGCGAGGGCCGGAGTGTGCCTGGCATGTGCTTCGGGACCGGGCTGGGATTTGCAGTGTGTCCCCCGAGTGTGGACCCTGCTCCGGTGCGGCGCTCAGTCACCGGAAATGACCCAGGTGGGAGGGCCGCCTTTGGCCCTGTGCCTCCTCGGTGAACCTGACCACACCCACGTTTACCTCCACTCACTTGCACTTTCCCTAAACACAACCTTCAGCGGTGCCTCCCATGGAGCCAAGTCCTTAAATGAGGGCTGCTCCACCAGTCAGAGGTGTGCAGAGGGGTGCGTTTCAGGGAACTGAGGCAGGAGGAAAGAGCCGGAGAGCCCCACAAACACCAGCCGTGGACGAGACCTGCCCTATACTGGTCAATCCTTGCCCGCTTCACTGTCTGGTTTCTTCCACGAGATGACGCACTCCACACACTGCCGCCTTCTGCTTTCCCAGTAGTGATACCAACGCAGGAAATATTAAGTGCCCACGTCCGCAAGGCAGCGTGTCACCCTCCCAGCCCTAGTTTTACTTATTTTATTAAAAACATTTGTTTAATGTTTATTTTTGAAAGTGCGCAAGAGAGAGAAAGAGAGAGGAAGAGAGAGAGAGAGAGAAACAGTGCACACAGGGGAGGGGCACAGAGAGACAGGGAGACACAGAATCCGAAGCAGGCTCCGAGCTGTCAGCACAGGGCCCGACACGGGGCTCAAACCCACAAACCATGAGACCATGACCTGAGCTGAAGTTAGACTCCCAACGACTGAGCCACCCAGGCACCCTACTGTTTAAATTTTTTCCAATATTTGTGAGAGACAGAGCGTGAGTGGGGGAGAGGCAGAGAGAGAGAGAGATAGAGACAGAGAATCCCAAGCAGGCTCCAGGCTCCAAGCTGTAGGCACCAAAGCCTGATGCGGGGCTCGAACCCACAAACCATGAGATCACGACCGTGAGCTGAAGCCGGACGTGTTACCAACTGAGCCCCAGGTGCCCCTCCCAGTCTAGTTTTAGAGAGCACACTGCCTGCTAAACCACCTTGGAGGTCCTCTATTTCCAGAAGCATCTGGTAGCTGACCACGTCTTTCTTGTTTGGTCCACCTCCTTATGGGTTCCACGGTCTGTGGGAGGTTTTTAAAAATCAAGGATCCCCCACCACACTCCAGGGCTGGTGAGAGGCAGCCGGCCAGCACCCTGCCTGTGTATCTGAAACATTATTCCTATAGATCGTGATTTTGACAAGCCAGGCCTTTTAATACCCTGATCTTAAGAGCTGAAGATGCAAGTAAATGTTTTCTTCAGGACAGAAAAGAGCCTCGAAGTCAATCACTGTGCACGACCTTCTAGGCGTGGGCACAGACCTTCTAGGCTACATGGAACCGCATGACCAAATGGCTGTGGAAGAACCTCAGTGACATTGGGGCGCCTGGCGGTTCCATCGGTGATGACTGTGGCTCAGGTCATGATCTCACAGTTCGTGGGTTCGAGCCCCGTGTCAGGCTCTGTGCTCACAGCTGGGAGCCTGGAGCCTGCTTCAGATTCTGTGTCTCCCTTACTCTCTTCTCCTCTCTTGCTTGCGCTCTGTCTCTCTCAAAAATAAACAAATATTAAAAAAAAAATTTTTTTAACTTCAGTGACAGTGACAACACAGGTGTCCCTCCTTACAACTGCTGGCAGAATGTTCTGGAGTGCTTCCAAAGACGGCACGACAGGCATGACATAGGCCCCGTCACAGCTGCCAGTACTACCAGAGTGCCACCTACAAGGGCCCTTGGGTGGGACACATTCTGCATCGATCCCACCTGCTGGGTGGTCAGATGTTCCAAATCCCTTCCAGCCTGAAGAGGAAGGACTCAGATTGCAGTCCTGTCGGAAACTACGGAAATCAAAGGAAATGGAGTATCTGAAAATGCTTAAATATTTATTATCATGCAACCGTTTGTTTATACGGCAATTTACTTGGACAACCGTGTTTTGTTGTGCTCGCTGGAGGGGAGAAAATGGATGTGGAGGCAGAGAGATCATGAGAGTGACCAGGAGAACAGAGAGAAGGGGCTCACAGGGGACAAGCCCTCCTCTTCCCCCGGCTGTGCTGCTCCGAGGGGCGGGAATCTGGTCCACGCAGGCTTTGCTGGGGACTGAGGAACACGGGACCTCAGTCGGGGGCACCGTCTGCGGCTCCGGCCAGCCTCCCGCAAAGCCCATGCCAGCTCTGGAGTCCGTGCCAACAAGCCTGGCTGTCCCCAGATGTGGCCAGGCTGGCCTGATAGATTTGCTGTGCCAGCCAGGGCTCCCCCAGCAAGGACAGAGAAGGCCCTCCAGGACCTGACCTTTGGGGAAATGGAACAATCCAAGTCCTGGAATGCTAACCTCTGACTAGAAAGACGGTGGCGACGTGCCAGGGGCTCAACCCAGAGTTCTGTGCCAACCGGCGAGGCCCACGAATGGGGAGCTGGGAAGAGGGAGGGGTTCAGGTCCGGCAGGAACCAGGAGGACTCTCACTGCTGGAAGGCTGAGGGCAGCTGCAGAACAGAGCATATCCTGAGTCCCCGATGCATCCCTGTTCCCCCAGCTCCTGGAACTGACCCCGTGTGTCTCCATCCCACCCCTGGGGGCCCACAAAGAGGAAGCAGAAGGTCTGCAGCAACTGAGCATGCTCAGTGAAGGGATGAGCCCGGCCCTGGGGCGGAGGACGTACTGTAGAAACAGAAGTAATAGAAGGACTTTCCCAGGACCAGGGGAAGGGTTGGGGCCACACCTCGCCCCCAACAACACACACGACAGTCCACACCC